GGTTCTCAAAAGTGGGTTTTTTGCTAATGTCTCAGATGCTTCTGAACTCTAGAGTTTTATACACACATGCAACCGGAGGCTCTCAAGGTGCTATGTATGACTATATAAAATTGTGTTTTCATGGTATTCTAAGTAAATATAGCCATGAGTATCGGAAGATGTTTGAAACTCAACCGTCAACTTCCAAAGGTAAATCGTCCAAAGAAAAACATGGTGAACTTGACAAAAATACAAGGAAAAAATCGCGCTCTACGAAAGGTCTGCATTGTCTGTCAAAGTCGAGGAATAAGAAAACTCACTAGAAATGTTTGCCTTGAATGTACAGATAAATCACGACTATGCTGTGAGAATTACTTTGAAGATTACCACAAGTAATAAGTGTGAAATATATGTTTTTCTATAACTTTGTGTAATGTCTATAGTATTGTAAATAAAGCATTTATTTTATCAAAAATGTGTTCAAAACTTTTTTTAAAATATCCATATCTGGATACCTGGTATAGCACTGACATCCTCATATGGAGATTCTGGTATACTGCTAAATGTTAGGAACGTACCACCATTTTGTTTCTTGTTTTAAAAAGCAAAAACCTGTACCAATAATCAAGTTCAAGTATACTAATATAATTTATGAAAGTTGAAGTGAAATTGTAGCTGGAGTTGAAGGGGTTCATAGTGGTGTGAAAGATGGGCGATCGTATGTACCATGGACTTTTTTGAAATACAAGAGTGTGCTTGCCTTCTATCATCTAAGCTAGCAAAATCGTATCTTTGAAAAAGCTCGCTTTTGGGGGTTCCAATAGGCGGATATGTGCCCTCGGTTTCAAAAGACAAAAACTTCAAGAACTTGCTTTGCACCTTCTCCAAAGAGCCTCATGCGGTCACAAAGCAGGGGTTCTATACTATGCTTGCATACTCTAATTTTTATAACACGAAGGAGTTGAAAAGCATGACCATCATTGCCCCCTTGTTCGTAAACTCCTTGGAATTCCGTATCACAAATCCAATTAATCTATTAAAAGAAGAATTTGGTCTCTATGAGGATTGAAACTTAGAGAATTGTCAAAGATCCTAGGTCCTTATACTCATGTACTCTCTACAAAGGGCATGTACTACCTTTCTTGTGCATGACAGAACACTACAATTGCTGTTGTTGATTGGGACATTTTTTACGACACACCATTCCAGTACTTTGTCGAAGTCACCCGCAGCTGTTGGCACTGTAATAAGTCATCTGCAAAAATGAAATGCTAACAATCGATACTATCAACAATGTCATTAATCATATGAAATAGAGGACCCAAACATTAGCTATATGTAATAAAGAGAAAACATTCTTAGCTATAAATCAGTCTCCAATAAATCAGTAAGCAAAGATGTTCCAGCTAGTGCCAAGTAAAACTCATGTATCGCTTGACGGTCACAGGTTGAGTGGGGCGTGGCGCAATGGCAGTCCGCTCTGTTGCCGGCCTGACGCTGACGGTGGAGATTCGGTACTTTCTACGGCAGTTGATTGCAAAATCGACAATTAGATCGTGGATAAAACAATGCCCATTACCTTTCTCGGATATCAATTAATAATTGTACAAGTTTTGACGTCTCCAGGCATTGTGTTCAGACGTGATGCTGACAGACTGGACAGACATTCACATTATGAAAGAGGAGCTACAAATCAGTCTCAAACAATTTAGTAAGTGAGGATTCTCCGATGAAATGTGAAGTCAGTCTCTAAAGTAGCGAAGGAATCGAGACCGATTTTGGGGACCAAAACTTGCCTAAGGTATTCCCTGTCACCTACTATATACCCACAGCGCCCCACAAACTTCGTTAAAATCGCTGGTGGTCGTGTTTCTAAAATTACGAGGGTAGGAAGGCGTCAACCTGACGCCAACAGAAATACAGTCCGATCGACAGACAGACAGGCTGACAAAAAAGAGCGTTATCGATTTTTGTGATGTACCTCTACATGCCCCAACCTGCCCGTAACAACATACATAATACAAAACATGAGAAACGAATAGTCTTATATTACCTGTCGTCTCACTCAAGAACCCTATTTACTCAAGAAAACACCCACACGTACAACACTACTTTTCGCGGATCTTGACAAAGGAATGAGAGATTGCCTTGATTTAGATGGGTCATGAACGACGAGGGAAGACAAGGTCTCTAACATCGCTGCCATTCCTTACGTAGCATCCCTTAGGAGTTAGATAAGGAGTTGAATTAGGTTAATCTACTCGAATGGGAGAATAATAGCGGTGCTTCACGTAAAGACGCCAGTGATGTGATGATGTTATGCAATCAGGAGTTGATGGTTATATTTTTGCTTGACTCCGCTGTTAAAGCTGATAGTCTTAATGCAATACTTTCAAAAGCAGTGCAAGAAACTAAAAATACTATTGATCATTTTCTCTGCTCTTTGGCTAAATGAGTGTTTATCGTATGTACAGAGTAAGTCGTCAGTGGGTCACGCTCTATAAAAAATACCCAATCGTAAAAACTTTTTCGCTCCGTTCATTTTTTCAGATCCTCTAGCTCATTATGAACCTAAAACATATTTGTTTCTTTTCTACAGTTGACCAAATTCGAGTTATAAAAGTAGAATTTTGACGCATTCATTACGCTAAAAGGTATTAAGCACCAATTTCGACAAAGCAGAAAGTTGACTTTTACCGGAATTTTTACTGATTGGTTGAAGTAAATTGAACAAAGCTACGGATGATATATTCAATTTTTTCGATCAACCTCAGAATAAACGTACTAAATTCATTTTTCCTGCAGAATTAGGGAAACGCAACAATTTTGTCTTGGAGAAAATCATTTATTTGCAAATCTTAAATTTTTTTGAACTGAGAGAGATTCTCCTTGTACATCAGTCAGGGTTTAAAAAATCATACAACACTACAACATCTCTTCTTAATTTGATGGACAACATCATCAGGGCGCTTGATGAAAGAATGTGTATTGCCTTGGTATCACTGAATCTCTCCAAGGTATTTGATAGAATTGATCAAGGACTAAGCTGAAATGTTATGCTATTGATAAAATAGCAGTACAGTTTTTCAAAGCACATCTTACCTGCCGGTCTCAGTCCGTCTCAGTTTCTGGAGTTTTGTCAATTGAGCACTTTATTACTCCTGGTGTGCTTCAAGGCTCAATGTTAGGCTCTTTGGTATTTTTAATTTATGTAGTCAATATAGTCAATATCTACTAAGTGACATATAAATCCGAACACCCAGTTTAAATGGTTTTATTTTAATAAAATTTTGTATAAGTACTTAATGAAGCATAATAAGTAAATCATAAAAATTTCAAAATGATTGCACTGCTTTAAAGCCCTTTGGCCTTTAATAATGTGTGGATGCACCCTGATGTGCTACGCATTCTCCAACGCGCCTAGGCATGCTTCTGAACAGGTGGTCAATGTCCTCCTGTGGTATCTCATTCCAGGCAACCACCAACTCCTCTCGAAGTGCTTCTAGAGTCTGAGAAGGACGTTGCAAATTGAGCAATCTCCTACCCATCATATCCCACACGTGCTCAATTGGGGATAAGTCGGGAGATCTTGGTGGTTATGGTAACAATGTGACATCATTATGTTGAAAGAAGTCTATTGTGACTCTTGCAACATGTGGTCGGGCATTATCTTGTTGGAAAGATGGATATGCCAGGGTGTCAAGATAGGGTAAAAGATGGGGTTCTAGAACTTCGTGGATATAACGCTGGGCGTTCATCTTACCTCTGATGAAGATTAAAGGTGACCTGGAATCATAAGCTATAGCACCCCAAACCATAACTCCAACAGTGTGATGAACATGTCTTTCAACAAAATACTGTTGATTCCTCCTTTCACCACGTCGCCTTCTAACCCTTACACCGACGTAATCGCCTTGAGTGGTGCACACAACGGTCACTCTGGGATCAGGAATGGAACGGTATTGTCTTTAGTGACGAGTCTCGATTTTGTTTAGGCATGCACGATGGTCGATCCAGGGTTAGAAGGCGACGTGGTGAAAGGAGGAATCCACAGTTTTTTGCTGAAAGACATGTTCGTCACACTGTTGGAGTTATGGTTTGGGGTGCTATAGCTTATGGTTCCAGGTCACCTTTAATCTTCATCAGAGGTAACATGAACGCGCAGCGTTATATCCACGAAGTTCTAGAACCCCATCTTTTACCCTATCTTGAAACCCTGCCAGATCCAACTTTCCAACAAGATAATGCCTGACCACATGTTGCAAGAGTCACAATAGACTTCTTTCAACATAATGATGTCACATTGTTACCATGGCCACCAAGATCTCCCGACTTATCCCCAATTAAGCATGTGTGGGATATGATGGGTAGGAGATTGCTCAATTAGCAACGTCCTCCTCAGACTCTAGAAGCACTCCGAGAGGAGTTGGTGGTTGCCTGGAATGAGATACCACAGGAGGACATTGACCACCTGATCAGAAGCATGCCTAGGCGCGTTGGAGATGCGTAGCACATCAGGGTGCATCCACACATCATTAAAGGTCAAAGGGCTTTAAAGCAGTTCAATGATTTTGAAATTTTTATCATTTACTTATTATGCTTCATTAAGTACGGTTTATTATTATTATTATCCTGTATTGTCACAGCTTACGCTGGTAATATCTGGGCCATCTCGAGTGATGTTTATAGAGTGTAGCTCTGGGTGGAAGTGAAATTCATTATGACCCGCCCTCAATTTCCTATACCGTCTTGTAATACGACAAGTGTCGAGAATCACTGCCTTCTGCATTTGCATTTATTATTATTATTATTATTATCATCGATAGAACAGTTGAAAACACAGGATTACTATACCCTAACCCCTCTAGGATACATTAAATATTGACTGGACCAAATAGTAGAGTACAACATACACGAATAATGGAATTAACGCTCACGGTGTAATTGAATTTGTCGTAGTTCTCCAATAGACGCAGTTTGCATAAGTAATGTTAGCTAAAACGTCCCGTAATCACATTATCATGCGCAAAATAGCTCCCAGATGTCCCGGTAAAGCTCGTGGACCGCCAGTAATTCATTCCCAATTAACCAGATAACAATTGGGCATTTTAGTTGTCGGAACTGAATTTTGCCAAAGATGACACCGCACTGAGGACAGACAAAAGGGGTAAGAGTCAATTGACTGGAACGTAATAGAATACTAATATGGTATCGTATGACATTGCAAACTCTATTGGCTTATTGGTACCGCAGGCATCAGTGTAATGTTATGGAAACCCTTCAAACTGTTTACGATACCACGGAACGCTTTGCGATTCAGAGGTCTCGTTCATTACCTTGTAGCGCTACTGTAGCGATACTTTATTTTCTACTGAGCGCGTATGATCATTCATCAAGTCAGTGTTTGTTGTCAGAGCAGTCCCTGGGACCTTAGCTCTTACGTCATAGTGTCAGTTTGCAAGTCTATCAGGTCTGGTAAACCAGAAACCAGACAATTTGAAGGAAAAAGGGAAATAAAATAAGAGAAGGAATGAGGAGAGCAAAGACGAATATGAGAATCTGTTAGGACAGAGAGCGCTTAGGAATTGTTAAAAATTCCTGACAAAGTTTAATAAGGTATAAAAATATTCGATTTTTGTAATGATTTTGTCGAAATCCTCCAATTTGGGTTGTTCTAAATTCATGTGCTTGCGAACTTGCTCCTGTGTCCACTGACTCGCACGACTGAGGGTTGGTGTACAATTTTGCCTGATTAGGTGCATTGTCACTTTAAGCGCTACTAGAGCGATCGTCATGTTTTCCATAATAACTAAAATATGATCCGCTCTTTATCAAGTGATACATTAAATATACTAAGTGACATATAAATCCGAACACCCTGTTTAAATGGTTTTATTTTAATAAAATTTTGTATAAGTACTTAATGAAGCATAATAAGTAAATGATAAAAATTTCAAAATGATTGCACTGCTTTAAAGCCCTTTGACCTTTAATAATGTGTGGATGCACCCTGATGTGCTACGCATTCTCCAACGCACCTAGGCATGCTTCTGATCAGGTGGTCAATGTCCTCCTGTGGTATCTCATTCCAGGCAACCACCAACTCCTCTCGAAGTGCTTCTAGAGTCTGAGGAGGACGTTGCAAATTGAGCAATCTCCTACCCATCATATCCCAAACGTGCTCAATTGGGGATAAGTCGGGAGGTCTTGGTGGCCATGGTAACAATGTGACATCATTATGTTGAAAGAAGTCTATTGTGACTCTTGCAACATGTGGTCGGGCATTATCTTGTTGGAAAGTTGGATCTGCCAGGGTGTCAAGATAGGGTAAAAGATGGGGTTCTAGAACTTCGTGGATATAACGCTGCGCGTTCATGTTACCTCTAATGAAGATTAAAGGTGACCTGGAACCATAAGCTATAGCACCCCAAACCATAACTCCAACAGTGTGATGAACATGTCTTTCAACAAAAAACTGTGGATTCTTCCTTTCACCACGTCGCCTTCTAACCCTGGCATGACCATCGTGCATGCCTAAACAAAATCGAGACTCGTCACTAAAGACAATACCGATCCATTTCTGATCCCAGAGTGACCGTTGTCTGCACCACTCAAGGCGATTACGTCGGTGTTCTCGAGTTAAAGGGAGCACCCAGTGTGGCTGGTATGAAAACAAGCCAAAACTTCTCATTCGTCGGTAAACACTTCGCATGCCAATAGGTCTTCCGTGTTCTGCAAACCATTCATTTGCAATGGACCTGGTAGTGGAGAAACGGTCCCTTAAGGCCAATAATCTTAGGCGGCGATCTTCACGGTCTGTTGTTCTACGGCGGCGTCCAGTGCCCCTTGCTCTTTGCGTACGGCCTTCTCGAAGCCATGCCTGACAACACCTAACCACAGTGACTACACTTCTTTGCACTCTAACTGCAATTGCCCGAAAAGAAAGTCCAGCTTCCCGAAGTCCCACTATACGGCCCCTATCAAACTCACTAAGTTGACGAAATCGTACAGGTCTCCGTACTCTAGGCATCGTAACCGATCGTAAAGGATGTCAAGAACCAAAATCCGCCAACGTTGATTCTTTACTGCGGCTGAAATATTTATTTTTAGAGTGTTAGTGAATTAAAAAAAAGCAGTATAAAAACCGGAATGTCCAACTGATAAGGCTGAAAATTTTTTCACTTGTTATTTACAGTAAGATAAATACATTCACCAACTTTTATTAAAATAAAACCATTTAAACTGGGTGTTCGGATTTATATGTCACTTAGTATACTATTTTATGAAGTTCCGTGTTTTGTGTTTGCTTTGTTTGTTTAAGGAGAAATGTTTTTTTCCTATTGGTAATTGGCTGATTTACACTTGTTAACATTTATCACTATTCAAGCTCTACCATTTCAGGTTTTCAAATAAAAACACGTTACGTGTTTAGACGAAAAATGTTGCACGCCGCTGTTATTTAAAAACTTGAGACAAAGAAGTTTTACTAATGTTCAAAGGTTAAGAAATATAAAACGGCATATTTATAATCAGAAAAAAATATTTCTGAATTTTTAGTTTATTTTACACATTAATCATGATTTTAAATTTTGAACTGCCATAACTTATTTTAGAACAAGGGATAATTTTCTGAGGGTATATCTCTTTGGTATATTTTTATCTCTTCTTGCGTTTGCAGATAGAAAAGTAAATTTCTAGTAATAGAGAATGTACATGGATTTTTCTTCAAGGTTGAGTAGAGAGTAGATTTTTAAACAGTCTTTCTCTCTCAAGGGTTTTTTTTTGATACCGTAAATTTTGGAAACGAGGCAAGTAGCCCCTACCTTGTGACATTCCTTACATCACTTCTCACTACTGGCTACTGATTTTTGACCTGAGCGCTTGTGAGCTGAGGACATCTCAGCTGCGCCTAGAGCTGTAATTGGAAGAAGATCACTCCAGATAAGACTGTTGTCCAAATAAGTTTAGGTTTAGGCGTTAAATTATTTGTAAAACCCTCTACTCTGTAGATAACCTCGTACTCTCCGCTTTATTGAGCTAGGGCCTAATTTTGCACGCCACTTGACAGCTGTTTTGCATTAACTGACCCTTAGATTTCATTTATAGTGATTTATTAATCCATTAATTAATTTAAAAAAAAAGGAAAGAGGAATCACACCACCATTTTCTCTTATTTATAAAAAAAGGCTTGGCCATTTGCATCTGTTAGCTGATTGTGAACCCAGAGAAAGCCCAATTTTGGGTCTTTCTGGATTAAGAATGACATCAGCTTGCTGATAGTATTCAACTCATTAAACCCTTTCATTTGATACCCATATTACAGGTGATATTACGGAAATGATAAGTCGCTTGTGTTTAGTCATGAGTACTAAGCGTATTATATAAAATTTCTGCTCAATTGGTCAGTCTCAGCTGCCTCAAAAATGAAGAAGATCTAAATCGTCAATCGTCATCCGCCGAATTGGATCTAGAATGCATTCCTTTACTTATTGTAGATCAAGTCCTTTCATTTGTTACCCATATCATAGGGGTTGCTATGAAAATGATACATCGCCACTTTGTAATATCTGCCATATTCGATTCAAAATGGTGGCATTCAATTCACTTTGTATTGTCACTCGAACCAACCGTGTATATAAGATTACAGCTAATTAGGTTGAGGTTAACTGGTTCAGAATTGAGTTCTCCGATTTGTCCCACATAAATGTACTGACGTTTTTAGTTTGTAAGGCTTCTCCTTTTTTGGGTAGCGACATTTAGGTAGCACCGGACATTTAGCGAACCTCCTGCCACTAGAAATTCTTGCGTTGACCAAAATTCTTTCTGAAGTAGCTCCAAGTTTGAAGGTGATGGAAGAAATGCCCATTTTTTATCCTTCTCGTCTCCTTGAATGTAGTCTTGGTGAGGATGAACACGTTGTTACTATGAACTCATATTATCAACGGGAGCAGAGCTGTAAAAATTTGGATCGCATTGCCAGAAAAGCGTCTTCCCTAACATTCAGACTTGGAGCTACTTCAGGAAGAATGTTCGTCAACGCAAGGATATCTAGATGCATGAGGTTCGCTAAATGTCCGGAGCCACCTGAGGGGCTCTGCCTTAAAGAGGAGAATCGCTTACTATGGGAGACTTTGGATCATCAAACAGGCTGACGTACTGAATGACGAACAGGTCAAGTTAAATGAAAGCTTGTGAAAAAATTGGAATCACTTAATCTTCAGTTTTTGATATTTCAGGTTATTTTGATAAGAAAGTTTTAAGTGGTTAAAGTGGTTGTAGAGGGTCGGGGGTTATAAATAGTATTAACTGAAATAATTTCTATTATTAAGAAATTTCTGATCCTGGTAATACTATGCCGCTATCAGTCAAATTAAAACCCACCGCCCGAAAACACCAGTAAATTGACTGGACTTGGCGGCAATGGTACATGTAGGCTGTATGCGTGCAGCGTATATTTTACCTAGAGTTGACGGGAATTCCACCAGCGGCATCGGGAATATAGAACACATTACCTTTGTTTTTTTGTATCATAAGTATATTTAGCGCAGCAGTCTCTTGACTAAACTTCATATCATGTAGGTTCTTTCATCTCACAGACAATTATTACGGTTTAATCATTTTGAATCAGACTTTATGTGACGTTAGGTCTTGAAATAAATAGAACATATTCTAATTTGTAATGGAGTCGCATTGGTAGTACAAAGTCAAGCTACTTCATGCAATTTTGTTGCTTTCCATGGAAATATAAAATCAAAGATCAGATAATTATGCTCAGTATTTAAATTACTCCGGGTTTAGCTTATTTAACCAACACCGAAACTGTAATTATTCCAGAGATCGAAATACTACCCTCTACTTATCTTGGTCACGCTCTTTAAACCGACAACTGCAGGCACTTATGCCGCTGAACTGAAACAAAGTTTCCGAAGACGTTTTCGTGCATTGAAGCGTCAAAGACAGGGCCGAAATCGAGTTAGTCGGGCCACCGACGACGTTACCAAATTTGTCGACCCTTCTCAGGAGCAGCTTTAAGTTTTATTGTGCGTCGTTCTTGTTGTTGTTCTTGTTGTTGTTGCAAATTTTAAACTGTAACGTCTTGCGCCAAAGCTGCATTATAAATTTTCTGTGCTGGTAACCTTTATTTCTTCATTTCTACCCGTCAATTATCACGAGTTACTTGCAGTTCATTGTTCTGAATCTTGATGTGTTTGGTATTAAGAGAAGGAGTACGCCTAAGGTATCACCTGGCATCAATGGGCCCAAGGTATTTCCTAACAGCTTAAATTAAGTTGGTAGGTTAGAAAACTCTAACTGATTGCAACATAATTTCTGGAGGCCTTAGAGAATGGATCTAATTTATTTTTTCATATACATCATGCAAGACAAGATCAATTTGTCTTTTCTGGTTACTCGCACAACAGGAAGAAGTTTTTTTTTCACCAGTGACATGCCAAAACCAAATGATTGTAACCGACCCCGAGGCAAGGCCGAAGCACTCGTCAAGATTCTTGAGGACGAATCTACCATGAAAATAAAATTCGTCTCAAACACAAGACCATCAGAAGGGTACTAGAGCCCCAACATTGCAATGGTTCTGACTGAAGAAATGAGAACCACAGATGGTATTTGAAAGAGATGTGAAAGTCTATTTCAAATGTCTTGCGACTCGAGTATTTTTATCAGGTTTGTGAAAAAATGATCTTGCAAGACTCTAGCTACCGTAGCAAGATGATGAAAAAATACAAACTGCCTAAACTCGTTTTTCTTGATGCCAGTCGGGTACGTACCTATTACGTATTTAGTAGAATCTTTTCCCGAAATCATAACGTACTCCTGACTTGACTCCAGCATTGTTTCTCATAAATATTAGAAACTTCCTTTTCTGCACAATTTGAATTAAGTAAGAGCATATTTAATCTGCAGGATTTGCTATTCCCAAATGGTTCAATTTGAACATGATGCGTGGCTAAGCTTACCTTGACTTTTTTGTCTATGGGCGGTTTCTCGAGAAGGCATGTTGTGGTGGTGGTCTCAGTTCGCGGCATATCGATATAAGTGTCAGTGGTGCCCCCGATTTTGGTCAGGGACACCACGCCTTCACCCGCCTCTTCCTCATCGTCGTCAACTGTGTTCTCTGAAAACAAAAAATATCACACACATTAAAAAAGGAAATACGTAACTATAGGTATGAAATCTATGTTTTTTAAGCATGACATGCTAATGAACAACCTTAATCGATCTGGGATCCATAGAACGTTATGGTTCATTAAGCAAAACAAAAATGTTCCACATCGATCCTAAACCAATATTTTATGTTGTTGTCTAATTAATCGAGACTCTTTGGACTAATGATCATAAATACATCGTACAACTCGCAGCATATTAAACAATGACGATGAGCGCAATGCCTCGAGCGTCTAGGCTCACCTTTTTCCATAATTACCTCCGTGAGGGCTATAAAATAAGGACGGATAAGTTTTCCACGAGACTATTTTAAAATTGAGCCAATTTTTTTCACTCCGGTCAATTTTTCTTTCGATCGTGCTGGACAGAAATAATTGTTTTCTCTAAAGTTTAGGTCATGTTTAGCGTGATAAAGCATAAAAAATGTATGATTATTGTACTTGAGTCTTCGTTGAGCAGGGAAAACGATACGCACGCGGCAGCGTCAAAAAACATCGTTATATTTTATTTATCTTTTTTGTAGGGATCCCTCAAATAAGGACCAACCTGTCGCCGACGCTGAAAATGGGTGCAGCAATACTAAAGATAGGAACAACGATAGCTACAATTGCAATTGCAGGTAAATAATGATATAGATTCGGAATAACTATGTGATTTATTGAAAAGAAAGAAAATGTTGAGGATAAGTTGTATGTCAAATCGGAGTGGAATCAAGGATATATTGAATTGGATTCAAACAAGGCTATCGAAGAAAAGCACTAAACTAGATTTTGACAGTTATTTATCAGCATCTAAAGAGATAAACTTTGGTATACTCAGCGACATTAGAAAGGTTACTCCCAGAAAAAATAATTTCGTCAACTTGTTTTCTTGGCAACATAATGACTATATTTAAACCATGCTGTGGCAACAATGTCAACGTTTTATCTTTGTTTTGTTAACCTTTGTTAAAATGTTATCGTCTTAGTTTTGTGAAGAAAGTAGTTTATGAGAATTGAGAAGAAGAACAAATACTTTTAGATATTGCTATTTCATTAACTAGTATTAAGCATAACAAGATGCCTCGAGCTCCAAGACGTCCAAAGTATCACCATGTTAGCGACTTTGACATATGTAGAATTATTGCCTATCGAGATGTTGGTTTGTCCTATCGCGAAATTTGCCGCCGTCTTAATTCTACTCCAACGACGGTTATTCGTGTGTGTCGTGTGTGGATAGAAGGAGGTAGATGAATACAAAGAAGGCCAACTGGTCCACCGAGACGTACCTCAGAACGTGAAGATAGGTGCTTCAGACAACTAGCCCTACGAGACCGTTTTGCTACTACGCATAAAATCGCTGACCAGTGGTTTGGAGAAAAAAGGTAAACCTGTTACTATGCGTACACTCTAACGCCGCATTCGAACATTTGGACTTTTTTCATACCGTCCACGGTTAGTGCTTCCTCTGACTGCGGACCACTGTTGTCAACGTTTGAACTGAAGCAGAGAACGGCAACATTGGGAGGCAGAATGGCATAATGTTATCTTCAGCGACGAATCGCGCTTCTGTCTAGGTACGCACGATGGTCGTAGAAAGGTAAGACGCCGCCGTGGGGAACGTCGTGATATTGGATTTGCTGTACACGGGAATGTTCGAGAAATGGTTTGGGGGCTATTGCCTATGGTAGCCGATGACCCCTTCTCTTTGTTCAAGGCAATATGACTGCTGCGCTTCATGTTGATGATGTTCTTCAAACCACTTTACTGCCGTATCTGCAGGGCCGTCCACACGTCCTTTTTCAGCAAGAAAACACACGTCTCCATACTGCTCGTCGTACTACGGGCCTTCTTCAAGAAGAGGCGTTATTTTTTAGCGGAGGCCACCCCGTTCACCGGATTTAAGTCCTATCGAACATGTGTGGGATATGATGTGGAGGAGACTATCCACTTTGCACCATTCGCAACAGACTCTGCCACAGCCTATCCACGAAGTTAGAGTTGATTGGAACGAGATACCACAACCAGACATTGATCATCTCATTTTGTTGATGCCTAGACGTATACAGGAGTGTATTCAGCTGCGGGGTCGCCCAACACATTATTATCGTTTCAATATTGATGTAAGCCTACCTCATTGCCAAAAAATCAAGTTAAAGGAATTATGTTTCCTGGGTGTAACACTTCTAATGTCACTGAGTATATTGCAATAAGTAGATGAATAACTTTGGATAACAAAAATCTAGATAAGTTTTAAACTGAATTACTGGAAAAATGATCTAATAGAGAAGCTGTCAAAAAGTATCTGAATTTTGCATAATTTAAACAGAATGTCATTAATGACATTAACTAAACCCTTAAAAGCACTAATTTTGAATCTCTAAATATCTGACATTCGCTGTTCGACTTGAACGAGGCAAAGAGCAAACAGTAAACTGGATAGAAAATATTATTTTTATTGCTTCCTACGGTCGGTTGACCATTTTTTTGGCGGAGAGGTTTCTTTTCTGCCAGGGACATAGGCGTTATGAATTATTAATATCAGTGAAACTACATGGAATACATAAATTCTAACTGCGCTTCACTATTTTTGGTTGAAAATCTGTTATAATAATTGGGTTGCTCCCTTGCTCCAGCTCGAATCTAACTGCAGTAGATCAACTAAATATTTCGTGTATGCTGCACTTTTGATATATTTCTAATAATGAATATTAAGTATTCTGTCTAATTGACAGGAACGCTATAGTCTGACTGCAATCACAAATCCATTTGCCAACGATACTCATAATATGAAATAATTCATTTCATTTTCTCAACAATGATAGAAGTGCCAAGCATTCAAAAATATGGAGACGCCACATATTTGTAAGGACCGCAGCTGGGCTTGTGCAGGTCAAAAAAACTCTTCAGACAACTTCTTTGCGTGTGATTCCGGAGGTTAAACCTTAAATTCATTTGCAACAATCAAATCGATCTTACTTCCATACCTTCACAATTTAACCCCACCGCGTTATGTCCCTGTTCCGCTTTTTCCTGCACGGGAGATCCATTTGGTGTTAGGGAGATGCTAGGTTTAGGGCCGATTTCACAATCTAACAAACCAATAGGGTACGAGTACCAAACTGATCGTCAAATATACCCAATAAGCCTCAAGATCTCTCCGTCAAATTTTTGGCAGCAAATAGCATCAAAATATTCAAAAGAAAACACTGTAAAATATGAAGTGTCAGCTTGCCATTGAAATGTTTTCAGTTTATTAAATATTATGAAATTATATAAAACTGAGCCAAAATTTTATAAACAATGCTTGATGTCTGAGTAAAATCCATTTTTTTCAGTTTAGCTAAGAGTTTCTCCATGTTTATTGCAACTTTTGTAATCCATATGTGATTATATTAACTCAACATCACCTACTGTGTGTTAATAGTTTATCCTACATTTGCAAACTTGCACTTCCAAACCCTTACATGAAAAAGCCTTTTCACTCAAATTTTTGTTAGGTGTTGCGTTTCAACACATTCATATACATCTTTCCAATTCCTCAACGACATTTTGACACCACTGGTCCGAAACTGTTTAAGATTTCAACATTCGTACATACAATTGCAGTTGCAGGTCTTTGTTTTATTTTCAGTGTATAATTAGTCGCACCACCGGTGATGGTACATGATACACTCACATATTTGGGGGTTAGTGCAGATTTAACGTGTACACGACGGTGTAATATGTAATTCTGCACAAGAAAGATCTTGGAGGGAGAACTTTTTATACGGAAAATCCATTTTTCATAAATAACACAAGGGACCACACTCAGACTACAGTAACGTTGGAGAAGTAGAATAGACCAAAGAAGAATTGACATTTGAAATTAGTGTCTCACAATGTTAGTGATGGGAGAATACATTTGCAATCAGTGGAATGCATTGGAACGGTAAAAAAATATGAATTGAATCGTTTTTACGTTATCTCGACTAACAGACTGGAATATATGCTCTATTTCTGTGCATATATTTTTGTAGTATTGTTGCATAAAGTAGTTTGTTCACGAACCAGTTCCTAGAACTGAATGCAACTTAATGAAACTAACTAGAAAGCACATCACTATTTCAAGTAATCCGGGGAGGGACAAATTGTCATTTCATCACACTAGTGGTGGGAGCATCGAAAGCCTGAGATTCGCTTTGCTTCTGTGGCTCAGAGGTATAGTGTTTTCTTGTGATAAGACTAGCGCAGTTTTTGTGTTTAAAATACTCTACCTTAGTTAATACCGTTGATCCTAAATTTGTTTCCAAAACAACATTAAACAACTCTCATGTCGTGTCGCAAGCAGCGATGTCAATGAAGCATATCTTTCGGTTCTTTGTCCTTTTCCGTGTTACTATGATGAATCATCGAAAAAAAAAATAATAGTAAACAGCACGGCTCCATTCAAAGATGGAAATCAAAGCAGAAGACAGTAGACAACACGAGCCCGAGTTGCTTCAAGTTCTGTATGTTTAAAAAAACATGAATATCTAAACTGGTTCTGTTATAAGAATTTGGAATATGTACCAGTCCAACACTGGTTTCACTGAAAAAAAAAAACGCGATTGAATAGCTTGGGAATATTTAACAGTTTAGACCATTCGAGGCTGATTTCAGTAGGATCAGGTTGCCTCACATGTCAGAGATTTTCCAATTTCCCCGCGCCCCTGGAGCCTGTGGTTCTCGATACTTGCTTCAGAAAGGTTTTTCACTCGCTTGACTGTTGGTTATGTTTATATATTTTACTGGGGATCTCAAAATTTTTCAAATATTTGGATTTTAGAAATTCATCGATATCAATAAAAAAATTCCATAAAATACTTAAACGTGATTTCGACATATGTTCCATGCGTCAGATGGAATTATTATTTGACCGTTCCTTTTGGACTTTATAATCCTTCCAACTGGCCATTTATATGGTGGCTGGTCGTCGCTTTTCATCAATACGACAGTTCCAGTGTCGATATTGGTTGGACAACTACGCCATTTATACTGCTGGTGCAATTGGGAGATGTAATATTTCGAAAATTGTTTCCAAAATTGTTGATACAATTGTTGTACATGCTGGAGTCTTGGCTGGCGATTCTTATTTACATTACATAAGTTGAGATCAGGTATAGACGTTATTTGGCGTCCAATTAGGAAATGAGAGGGCGCGAGAGGAGCTAAGTCGTTTAGGTCGTTAGATGAGGTAAATAATGGTCGTGAATTCAGAATTCCTTTTGGGCCCTACTGAGCGAGGGCCGTGGCAAATGCTTGTTCCGGAAGTTGTTGTATCCAGTATACAACTTCTTCCCGTCCAAGTGATTGTGCACGCGTTAAGGAATACCTCAGTACCGATTGCCGGGTGGCGGTACAAGTCCGCCAACGGGCCACTTTAGGTCTATTTAACATCACTAACATGTAAAAAGAAGGTGGTAGACAAGGACCAGTCGACCGAGGCGGTACCACCCTCTAGCTTTTCCCAGGGTGTCTTATAAATGTCCGCATGTTTCCACGTCTAAGCTATGCAGTCGGTTATCTTCCAAAACGAAGAAATTAATGATGATGGATCCCTCGAGGACTAAGAACTCCGGACATTAACTCACTCCACTCTCGGAATGTCCGGGTGGAGGGTGGGCTCGA